GGGAGTGTGTGTGTTTTGGAGGAGGATGGAGAGCCACAAGGAAAGGATTTAGTGGGAGGATGTAATATGCCGGGGAATTTTCTTCTTTGTAATGCTCACTCGATAGAAGCTATGGTACCAGAAAATAGATACCAAGAACTAGGTTTTATTATTTCTTTCTTTTTTGTCAAAAAGAATAAAGTTAACTTTGCCCGTGCAAACGTGTTCCTATGAATTATCATAATATATAGATACTTTTATTTTATATGATGTCGGCCTAAAATAAATTTAAATGAAATAATATAAACAATAAATATTGATATAGCTGATCCCAACAAAATTGAAGTATAAATACTGTTGTCGTGTAGTGGTGTTCGTCGGTCAGTATAATTTAAATATTTCGATTCTGTATTTTCAGTATTCGATTTCTTAAAATGCTATAGCAATACCATACCTAATTAACTTCCGTATGGTTTCACTTTTCTCCTTTTGATCTATATTTATTCTATCTGGTAACTTCGGTTTATTCGGCTCAAATATTAACTAATGCATAAAGTTATAGACTGTAATATTCTTAAGTAAGGTACTCACAAGTACGAAAATAAAAATATTATAATACAATTTGAAAAAGGGTGAAAATAAAAAATGCTAAACCTGGACGCGGGAAAGGTTGAAATGTAAGTTGGTAACCAAAAAAAAGGGAGGAAAGGCAAGTATAGTAAGAAAAAAAAAAGGTGGTAAATGTTAAAGAAAACAATAAAAATAAATAAAAGTAAAATTCAGAATTTTAATATATATGTTATGATCAATAATATCATGAAATAACCTTATGTAACTTGTATATATTATTATTCTTAAAAACAGAATACCAAATCAAATACCAAAATATCGAATATCAAAACCAAAATTTTTTTTTATTTCGATTCAATAATTCGGTATTTATCAAAGGCGAAATACATAAACGGCCCTTCAAGTTGTCCTCAACGGTCAACCAGACACCTCAACTGACCCTTTTATCATTTAAACACTTCAAGTGGCTATTAACTGAACCAAATAGACACCCGAGTGCAGCAGACTAGATGCGTGAGTTACACTTGCCAATGACGTGTCAAACGAACTAATTAAACAATGACACGTGTAATTTATAATTAAAAAAATTGATATTTGTTATTAGCAAAGAAATACATTAAAGAAAAAAAAATCCTTTTTAAATTTTTAGCACGCCAACACCTTTCCCAACGCCCAACCCTATTCTTCTTCTTCTTCCTTCCGCCCCATCTCCCTCTCACCTCCTATCTCTCTCTCGTCCCTGATTTAGTAGAGCCAACGCCATTGTAGGACAGAGAATACTCCAATAATTAACGATTTATATGTAATAAAGCAACAGCCACAAAGAAAAGAAAATGGGACTTCACAAATTCCTTATTCTCCCAACTACTCTTCTAATTTCGCCTCTTTATCAGCAAACCAACTGACCAACTCAATTTATTTTAGGTGTTAGTAGAAATAGAGAGAGAAGGTATAGAAAAAACAGAGCAACAATAAGTGACCAGCCGTATTCGCCGGCAAGGCTCCATTTTCGACTAGCAATAGCAGCTAGTATAAACAGTCCGCCGGCGATGACCTCTGGCAGATTTGAGATAATGAATACACAGGAGTTATACCACTATTGACGAAACCTTCTCGATGCGAGCTTCTGTTTTTTTTTTTTTTTCTTTTTATAGATTTTGCATCCAGGTTGAAATATAGGTGGTGAATTTAGGGTGGAAGGTGGTGGTTTAATGTTGTGGAGATAATGATGTTGGGGTGAGGAAGGTTCATATGAAATTTGGGTGAAAAAACACTGGTTTGATCGTTCAAAGGTGTGGGCAAAAATGATAATGTGGTGTGGGACCCAGGCATAAAATTTAACTTAATTCTAAAAATAAGAGAAAATAAGTCTGATAAAAGCCTCACGCGCTCAACTGTAACTAAAATGCACGTAACTTGCCATGTCACTATGAGGTGTCTATTTGATACAGTTAATAGCCACTTGAAGTGTTTAAATGATAAAAGGTTCAATTGAGGTGTCTGGCTGACCGTTGAGGACAACTTGAAGGATCGTTTATGTATTTCGCCAAATTATACACTACCCTACTGTCGTGTCATAAAAACGAAGTTGGCATACATTAAATTATTGGTTGGTGGAGTTATTACCCAAATATGGGTCAATGAAGAAATGAGTATGAGTTGGAAAAACAATAGTAGTAAATGTGTTGCACATGTTCAATACATGTACTTACAAAATTGAATTTGTTTAGAAAGGAATGGAAAGGAGAATTGAGCAATATCTTAAAGCATGTTGAAAACATTGGTCAACCTTAAACAATGATTTTCAACTTTAAGTCGTCCAAAGTTATTCTTTCTAGCATTAATAGTCCTAATTTCAATTTTAGGTCAAATCAACCCTCGCAATGTAACATAGTTGGACTATGAATTAAAACTAGTATCAAATTCCCCTACAACTTTGAAAAGAATCTTTGAGGAATTGAAGTGTGTAATTGCTAAAGATTTTTTTTTATAGGTTTGCGGCCTTTGTTTTCCTTACTCTTCAAAAAAATTGCAGAAATATGATACTTTTTAGGGTGATCTTTGACTTTTAATTCCATTTGTCCTATGGACAGAACTTCTAAGGTCAAAAGTTAAAAGTGTTGCCCACGAGCAAGCGAGGGCCAACACTAGTTAAACTTGAAGTTCTTCCTATGGAACAAGTGGGAACAAAAATTCAAAACCATCCACTTCGAGAGGTATTTGTGTACTTTACCGCTCACTCTCTGCTGGGTGAGTACATGCTTTTGGACATAAGAATTTTTTTCCTTTTTTTAAAAAATTCTTACTTTTTCTCGAAATCAGCATTTATTCATAAAAATTTTAATTTCCACTTGAAGATACATTTTGGAAATTTGAAAAACTCCAAGAAGCTATTTTTTAAAATTTTCACTCAAATGACTCACCAAACTTCAAAAACAACCCAAAATTATATCCATGTGCACTTGAAAAAAAAATCCCCCTATTTTAGAATTTTACAATTCTTATGTCCAAACGCCCACTTATTGTTCACTTTTTCTCCAATCTGTTTTCCAAATTTCATCAATCAGAAATTCTAATTGATAAATAAACTACGAGTGACCTTTATCTTCTTTTTATACTCATGATGTCTAAACTAGCTTGCGCCCATCTCAACTAATTCCACAAAGTACCTACTATGAATTTGCATTAGCCTCTATCAACACTAAAATTATATGACATCAAAAATACTTAATGTTAGAACAAAGATCTTTTAAAAAAGTAATACATTGAGGAAAAATAAATGAGCAACACTCTTAAAGATTGTGCACTCGTAAAAGGTTAAACGAAAACATTTTGATCTTGTTTAAATTGTGTTCTAGTTAGAAATATAGCATCAAAATTGTCTACCTCTCTTGTTGAACATGCTACAGTCAATTATAAATAACTAGAATTTGACATGCGTCCCAAACTGATGGGAATTCTTGGAATTTCAACTGTCATTGACAAAGTTATTCATATCTAACCGATACAAAGTGGTTCCTTAGAAAACATTACAGCAAAAGAACATCATGGCTAACTCCAGATGCAATAAACATAGGCTTCAGAGAATGAGCATAATAGAGAAGATATCATGCTGTTTGTGAGACAATAAGACTAAATAAGTAGAAAAAAATGGACGAAAAATATCTCGGATTTTATCTTCAACTACATCAAGATATTGTCAAACTCCTGCCTCAAGAAGAGTACTTCTATGTTGACCAACTCAAGAAATTCGGGCTAGCTAAGCAGCACCTTAATTCAAAGGAAACCTCCACCGGAATACTCAACCTCCTGCATGTGAAGCACTTCAGAATGTCATTAAATAAAAGAAGGACCTCATAATAAATCCATGAATGATCTGTCTGAAAAAACACTTTAGACATAACGGCTAGAGGAAAAACAAGAATAGAATAAGGACAATAATGAAGATCAAAAATCTACTCTACTGTTCAGAGAAAACTCAAATGAGATACAAAAGCAGTTTATCAAACACTCAAAACTTATACGAAAACAAACGAAGTCCAAATGTTGTGAGAGGCAAAATTTTGGTTTTAAAAAAATTGAGAAAAGAGATGGACAGGTGATAGATTTCATATGATGTAATTACATGTTGATCTGATTCTCAGCCAACAGCTGGAATCAAATGCTGAGGAGAAACGGGATGTGGAGATTGATAATGCAGTTATCGGAGAAGACCAGTTTTTTTGACTGTTGTATGGTTGGATATTCTGACCAAATAGCTGATCAGCTCCCACCATGAATGAAGTGACTGAAGTAGGATCTGGCTTTAAGGGTCAAGTACCACAGTACAATAACTACTATGTCGCAAACAAGTTGGGATTGGCTCTACAGGTCAAGCACCACAATCATTGTTTTATTTTCTCACAGACAGATAGACGTAGCATAGTACTGTCAGTGAAGCAAGACGAGAGAACCTCTTTCCAGTGTTTGTAAGCCAATCCTAGCCTTCAAAGGTAAACAGATCGAGGTCTAGCAGCTCAGTTTGTTAACATCAGATACTAGATGTTCTTCTAAGACCATGTGACATCTCATAAATGCTGGCTGAAACTGATGAGTCTTCTCCTGGCAATTAGGGTGCGACTCTTTCCTCTAACCTATATACACCAACATACTTTATGTCTTTGTTACAAGTACCGAACAGTGTCACTCCTAAACTGGATAGACCTCAAAGGAACTTCCCACAGAACTCGATAGATGGGACAAGTAAGTTTCACTTGGTCAAGTGAGAGACTGTTACAACTCCAAAGTGTTTGGGTGGCCTTGGGTGAAAGATCCTCCGGTTTTCAACAAGGCCCTATTGGGGAAATGACTACAAATGTTCAGGATAGAGGAGCACAATCTATGGAGGGATGTAGTGGAATCTATGGAATTTTGAATGGACACGAAGAGTTTAGTCGTAACATCACTTCCAGGGTAGGGAAAGGGCACAGGGTCAGGTTTTAGGTAAATAGGTAGTACGGAAATAATGCATAGATTCACGTTTCAAAACATGTGCATAATCTTACCAGAAAGAGTTCGGAAGTTGCAAGAAAGGAAAGTTCATTCGGATTAAGGTTTCGTAGGAACCTACAGGACTGGGAGGGAGCAAAAATCTGATGTCTAATTGAATTGCTTTATAAAAAAAAGCTCTTCTCATGACAACCATAATTTTTGGAGGTGGAAAGTGGCGAATAGTACTGGGCTGCTTTTTGTAAAGTCCTACTATTATGAGCTCATTTTTTTATAAGGTAAGTGATTTCAATAGATGGCATCAAGAAGATGCAAGAATTACATGAATTGGCATGTGAGCTAACAAAAAATATTCCGGCTCCTATACATAATTGGCTAAGCCAGAGCTAAAGAACTAATGAAATCCAAAAGATGATCAATATTGTTGATAGGGTACAATCTAGACCAGCAAAAGAAATTGGCAATACACAGAGCCTTTAAAGAACCTTTATTATGAGCTCTTGATTAGAATGAAATTGACATTTTACACATACAATTTGGATTCTCAAGCTTCTTGGATGGAGAGGAGTGGGCAGAGTTACCTGTTGCTGGTGGGAAGTAGCAGGTATCCGGTGGAATTAGTCGAGGTAAGCGCAAGCTGCCCGGACACCACGGTTATCAAAAAAAGAAAAAAAGAAAAGAAAAGGGGATTTCAACTAGTTAATAGATGCAATATGTGCCGGAAGGAACAAGAGACAGTCAGTCACTTGTTCCTACACTGTGATGTGGCAAATGATTTATGGAGAAGTATGTTCTGCTCTATTTTTGGTCTTCACTGGGTTATGCCACAGCATGTACGAGAGGCTTTTGCAAGCTGGAACCTCTGGAGAAGTGACAAGACCATCAAGAAAATCTGGGTGATGATTCCTGCAGTTATTTTTGGTGGCCATGGACTGAATGGAGTCAAAGATGTTTTGAAGGTCAACTCCAAACTCATCCCCCTCAAAGCTAGATGTTTGTAATATCTTTTTTGTTGGACTAAGTTAACACCCGTAATTAGCACTAAATTTTTTTCGCATTTTGTTAGCTCCCAGGTTCTAGATTGACAATGTAAAGGGACTAGCAACACTGTTACTTTTGTTCTTTTGTAACTTTGCATCTCCTTGATGCCTCATAAGGAATTAAAAAACGAAATCCCTTTGGATTTACATTGTTTCGTGGACCACGTCAGTTCCATTTTCTAGTAGCAGGATGACAATGACTGGGTGGGAAAATAGAACTGCTCAACCTGATGCACCCATATTAGACTAGAATATGCCAATATCTCTTATTTTGAACAGTATTCGCAGCCTAAGATTTCCGAGCCTCAATTCTTATATGTAAAAAAAGAAGTTAACATAAAACTAATTCGAAGAGTCAAACCTGGGCAGGTGGCAAGGATGAAACCCAATCCGATGCATGAGTTGGAAGAAGACCCAAAGTGTTAAGCTGCAAAACATATGTAACTCCATGTTAGCAAACCACTAATCATAGAAGCTGATGTTGAATAACATGTGTGTGCGGAAGAGATGAATATCTTCAGAGAAGCTGAAGTCGAATAACATATGAATGAAACAGATGAATATCTACCTTCCAGACGCCCAGTCCTAAACCCACAAGATTGAGTGCAATAAATAATAGTTTTGGAGCAAGAAGATCCACTTTGCTGTCCTTGTAAGGCTCAAAAACTGCCCCAGAAAGGAAACATGGGAAGAGATAATTAGAAGAGAATAAAAGAAGCAGCCATATCAAATCAGAGCTTAATGAGCGAAAGAAAAAAAAATGTGAAATTACAAATCACTAAATCCCAAATTTGAGACAAATTTCAGCCAAGAAATCCATCTATAGTAGTAAGTAAATAACTTACACAAGCACAATAAAGCAGTTAATTCAATAGTTTGTGATATAATGCCTGACCTTTCCCAACTCCTTGAAGAGCACTAAGAGGTTGCCATAGAGCTGAAACTGTGATACCAATGCTAAATAAATGCACTGTGCTTCCGGCCATCCACATCATGAAACCCATCATCATCAAATTCTTGGCAGGTGCTTGTGCCACTTCCCACGCTTTCTGTTCCAATGAATATCAAAATTAAGTACATAATTGTCGTGGAAAAGTAAGACAAAAGAGCTCCTTGTATAAGAGTTTAGGATCCATGAAATGAGTAACATTTCCTAATTAGCATGTATAGTAAACCTAGACACATTCTAAACAGTTGTAAACCAGAATTGAGAAGTAATCAACTCACAACAGAAGTAACTTCGACAAGAAATTGTTGGAAAACTAGAAAAGGTTAATCATTAAGAGATACTTATGAAATCACAAAAGCAGAACATGGTCTAGGAAAAATAAGAAGCATTGTTCATGCTTTTCGGGGAATTTTCCAAAGGATATTTTCACATTAGAGCCCCCCAGTCTCCATAAGTTTTGAAAATGTTGCTGCTCAAAATAGCATGAGGTCAGTATTATTATTTTGGGCTGCGCGGGGCATTAGCTTTGAGACCTACAAAGAGTTTGGTCGTGTGTTATGCAAATTCAAAAGTAAATTTTCATAAAAATGTGCATATTTATTGATTATTTCTCCAGTAAGAAATCCTACACAATTGTATAGTGCATAATTCAGAAAAAAAAAATCAGATTCTATACTGAAATGCTTCGTTTCTATTTTTAGTGATAAATTTGTATTGAGGACTTAGCAAGATAGGAGGCTAGTATCTTTTCTCCTTTTTAGATTGGTGGATATGAATTTTTGCTTAACTCTTTGCTTCTCCATCCATCTATTTATAGTTTATCACATATAATAAAGCAATTTCTACTAGCATGCTAGATCATATAGTAGTAGCTTCTTATAATAGCAGTCAGCCTTTTCCCGAAGAACCCAACACTACACTAAAGCATGTGAAAAAGTCATTAAAAATGAATGTAAAAAGCCAACTGATTGTAATCCTGTTTCTCAACACAGCTTTCCATTATTTAAGAAAAAGATATATCTTACTGCTGTCTGCTGTTACTACTTGCTGCCACTGCTTCTTTTCATCTTCTCTTTGGCCGAGGGTCTACCAGAAGCAGCCGCTCTACCCTCCCAAGGTAGGCGTAAGGTCTATGTACAATCACACTACCCTCCCCAGACCCACTTGTGGGAATTCACTAGGCTTATTGTTGTTGTTGAGCATAAGGTATATTCCAGGTTACTGTAAATTCACTTTTTATCAAGTAGCAATCAAATTTCTACTAGACTGCCCTTGAATCTTGCTGAATGCAGCGAAGCTCTGCATGCTAGTTCATATAATAGTACTCAGCTTCTGCCTAAAACCAAACAATACGCTAATGCATGTGAAAAAGTCAAGTTGTCAACTCGTAAATCATGTTTCCTAACTAAGTTTTGAATTATTGAGGTTAAGAAAGAGTTTCTACTGATTTTTAAAAGAGAAATAAAAAATAATTCTAAACAAGGTTAAAGGAACAATTTCAGGGTAACAAATGCAACTATGTTGGTTTTGACTTATGTGCTTTCAAATTATTCAGAAATTGTTCTCTATTATGATAAATTTTGCCGTAATTCACTCACTATACTTCCCAGAATCCAACTCATGACCACAAAAAAACCAGCTCTGAAGCATCTTCTAAGTTCTGCATATACAATCTCTACCCCACGTGTCATGACCACAAGAAATACGACTCAAGGTCTTTATACCCCCTTTGTCTAATGCTTTCCACATTCAAGATTCCGGATCTATGATATTACCATACTTTAAGAGTTCACAGGCAACGCCAGAGTTGCAAATACCAATTTTGTTACTCTTCTTTGTGCTCCTAACAACCACCAAACACGTAAGCATCTTTGGGTGCCCTTAGCCAGAGGCGGATCCAGGATTTAGAGGTTCTGGGTGCCACAAATTTTTTAACGTAGCCATGCTACAATTTACAATGTTTAAATAGGGTATAAAGTTAATCGGTTTGGTCTATTTGGGGTTCGGTTCGGGTTAGTTGTCTTTGAAGTTAATATAGACAAATCGATCGAGCAAATATATTACGTAATTATTATGGATTATGCATTTTGTATAAAAAAAAGGCTCGTTATCAATTTATATTTTATCAAGGCAAAACTTATACTAATAAGCACTCTAAACATTAAAACTGAAGCAAGTTTACAGACATTTTTCAACTTACTATTTTTTATGAAAATTAACTCACTCAATATTATATACAATTATCCTACTTTAGAGAAATCTGACAATAAAATAAACTTTCATCCTTGATTAGAACACTAACTTATTCAAGGATTTCTATATTTTTCTGGTTTCTGCAAAGAGATTTACCGGAATTATGCTCCGGAAGAAAAAAATTAATTTTTTTATCATCTATTGATAAATTATGGAGGAGTTGGAAAAGCGCAATTGTGTGTGGGTAAGGGTGGGTGGGGGGTGGGGAATTACAAGGAAAGAATAGATTTTTGAAAGAAAAAGATTTTTATATTTTATGTTTAATATTTATTGGAAAAAAAAAGGAAAAACCAAATTTCAAAATAAACTAGTAATAAACAAAGAAAAAGTCAATAGGAACTACTAATAAAGAAAAAGAACAATTAAGGAAAGAGAAAAAAGAATCAAAGGAGCAAGCCTCCTATAATTATAGCTGTCTTAAAATGCACCAAACAAAACTTCTAAGAAAATTGTGCTGCGTTGGATTCGAACTCGCGCTTCATGGGTGGGATGACAATGCACTGTCAGTGGCACCTTTAGTTATTTTGTTAATGAGGGTGCCACTTAAAATATTTCACTACATTCCTTCTGTATATACATGCATTTATACATACTATCGCATAGTCTCGGCCAAAGCTTGTGGGTGGCGCATCACCCCATCCTTTACACATAGATCCGCCCCTGCCCTTAGCCCAATACTTTTCCATCCTTTGCAACTTAAAATCTCAAAAAACCCCCACAAATTCATAACTAAACAAGAAGATATCAAAGGCTTTTCCTACTCCTACAGTAGGAACATAAATATACCGTGCAACATTAGATATCTCAAAGAGTCTAACTTGACGCATGGCAATAGACAAGGATAACACTACGAGCACAAGCTCAATCAAAAGCTAATATAGGAATTGAATCAATCAATCAACTATAGTAGTCGGTATCAGCTTTATGACTCCTTAGTACCCATTCCGAGAATTCATCTTTGACTACTTTTTAAATTGAATGCCAAACCTATATAAATTATGATGGGCTAAAAGACAGTCAAATATTTTCTTTAAATTCCATGTTCCTTACAACAAGTCAACAATCTAGTAACAAAATAACTAGTAGGTATAGCACAGCTACATGTAACAACACAATCCTTCTACCTTGGTACCACCAACAAAGATGGACCACAGTGCATCAGTGTATTCACAAGTCCGTTACAACAATAGTTACCTATTTATGTGTGTACCAGCACTCATTACTGAAGAGGTGGATTCACCCACTTGGGTGGATGTAGAGTTATCGGTACGAGTTCATGGGAACTCAATAGCCATGTCTCGGACCATGTATATGTGTTCAAAAGTTTACTCCCTATGTCCCAATTTATGTGGCATTCTTTCCTTTTTAGTCTGAACAAAAAGAATGTCACCTTTTAATATTTGGAAACAATTAACTTCAAATTTTGCATTTATGATTTATTGTCACACAAATGTCTAAGGCTTATTTTAGACCACAAAATTTAAAAGTCTTCCATTTTTTTCTTAAATTCCATGCCAAATCAAATGGTGCCACATAAATTTGGAAAGAGGGAGTACTAAATAAGTACAACTAATTAATTCTGAACTAGTGACAGAATCCCAAACTCGAACCCATAAAGTTCAAATCTTGTATCCGCTCGTGTTCGTCTACGACCACAAACTATGGAGCATTGACTCACATAACCCAAAACTTCCTACCCAAAAGCATTGTAAACAGAAACAAAATACAAAAAAATAATAAATAAACAAAACAAATCAAGAAAATTTTCAGCTTTTACCTGGCTTTTCCAATTAGCTTCCGCATTCTTCTTTTCGCGACTCAGTGTTGAATCATCCTATCAAAAACAATAAACATTATATAAGTATTAAGCACAAGCGTAATATTAATCAACTTTAATACCAAAGTCAGATCTACAACCTACTAACTCTAAATTCTGGATTTAGTCTGTATTTTAAATCTATAATTTTGAGAAAAGAAAAGAAAACCTGATCTTGAGAAGCGCGAGCGAAGCCAAGGGGATCAGGAATATCGCGGGAGGAAGGAGAAGTGGAACTATCGGTGAAGTCCACTGCCCATCTACGGCCCATACCCATTACTGCTTTACCTTTGTCCATAACACAGTGTAATTTGTTGATGATGAGATTTCGGCACCGGCGATTGTTGTGATTTTAGCTAGTATGTTTTTTGGAGTCCTTTGTTTGTTTTATATTGGTCGAAACACAAGGGTAATACAGGAGAAACAAAAAAAGTGGGGGAGATCTTTACACGACCAAATATGGTTAAACGTCTCTATATCACCCTCGTTTATCCGAATCGAAATAACATTTCTATGTGATACATTACTTGCAAATATCGTATCAAGAGTCATGACATTATTACCAATAATAGCAAGTGATGTACTAACAATAATTTTATTGTGAGACCAACCACTCTAGATTTGATATACCTCTTCAAATAACTTAAATAACCATCACAAATATATCAAAGCAGAGCAATAGTGCTAAATTTATAAGAAAAGCAAAATTGATAATATGGGATGAAGCACTTACGGCTAAGTGTCAAACGATCGAAATAATTGCCCGAAGTTCTAGAGATATATTGGATATTAATGAACCGTTTGGTGAAAAGACTGTAAAAGCTAGCTTGCCAAAGTTATGCTTCTGGTAGGGGCGTTCATAAAAATCCAAAAAATCGAACCAAACCGATACTTTTTTGTTTGGTTTGGTTTTGGTTTTGAATTTTAAAAACCGATCAAATTTGGTTTGGTTTTGGTTTTAATCAGAAAAAAGCCAAAAAAAAGCCGAACCAAACCGGCTATAGGAGTAGCTATTTCAAATTTATTACTACACCTATATATATATGTATATCTTTATACAAAGTTTCAAAAATTTTATGGTAAATGTTAATAGTTTGCACTTTTAATATAGTTCTTTACCTTTACATTCTAGTTTGATTGGCACTTTCTTTTGTTAAGTGTAAGAATCCATTTCGTGTTAAAAATAATATATTTTTAATTGAGTCCTTAAATTATTCATCACTATTTGATTCAATTATCATTAATATATCTTGGTAAATAATAGATTTCTCAAAGGGCAATTGATTTGATAGTGTTACGTTGAAAATACGGTCGCCGGGATATGTGTCTGGTAGTGTATGTCTTATATTTAAGAAAAAACCGACAAATAACCGAAAAAATGAAAAACCGACATAAACCGAATCGAGATAAAACCGACTTAATTGGTTTGGTCTGGTTCTAATATTTGAAAAACCTACTTACTTGGTTTGGTTTCTTTTTAGGGAAAAAACGATCCAAACCGAACCATGAACACCCCTAGCTTTTGGCCTCAGACGAAAAAGATTCAAATGACAAGAAATATAAAGTAAGAACGGATCCAGTATTCAGTGTCTTCTTGCTTCCTGTTGGGAACGAAGAATAGCATCCAATAAAAGATAATTTGGTTCTTACTGAACACTTGATTATCAATCCCGAGGGTAATATTAGTGCATTTAATAAGAAAAATATTTTTATCGTTAGATTAAAATGCAATTATTGCAAATCGCAAGATAGAATTAAAAAGATATATTAGCTAGCATAAATAAATATGTTGATTGCAAAATTTTACAGTAAAAAAATATTTTCGTTTTTTGACTCAGCAGAAAATAATACCAATAATTACTACCAAGAAGAATACTAAATACTTTAATACCAAATGGCCTTCTATCATACATGTTTGTTGTCAAGTTTCTTATTTTTTACGTATGTTAGTGTCACCGTATATATAATAGACTAAGTTAAAATTGATCTTCCATTGTATATAGGTTAATTTTGAAGAAAAATATGCCCGCCATGCTACTGAAAAACTTAGATACGCCGATTAGCTTATGTAATTGCACACAAATGGTATATAAAATTTTTGACAATAACGTCATACACGCGAAAATTATCATACTAGTTAAAGTGCTTCTAAGTATATTCTTATCCCTTAGTTCAACTTTCGTCTTCCAAAACTAAGGAATATCCTTTTAAATTTGTGTGAAAATAATTTTTAGTATGTTTATGTTTTGTAAATATAATATATAAAGCATAAGTACAAACATCCTAAATATTGGACTATATTTACCGCAATATGTTTTCTTCCACGAACAACTGTATGTTGCACTTTCAAGAGGGGTATCAAGATCGACAACAAGAGTTCTGGCAACCAACGCATTAGGAGGAAACATACACACAAAAATATTGTCAATAAAGAAGTGATCGTTAAGATACTATCACATTAATTACTTTTAAACTATAATATATAATTATCTAATTAACATAACAAAAATGATCATTTGTGTAAGTTTGATGATGACCTTTTATTTTAAATTCATGTGATAATATATTTGGGCATTTAGATGATTGTTGTATTATTATACATAAAATTTCTCTCATTAATTAAATTTTATTGTTCCTTCATATAAATAAATGTTTAAATCATCATGTGCTATTATTAACGTGCAAAGCACGTTCATAAATACTAATTTATTAATAAAAACCCTAATGATAATTTGAATTACATATTTTATATCTTAAAAGAAATAATTTCAAACTCCCCTACTCCTGTTAGAACTAGGACAAGAATCAAGATTTCCAATTAGCAGTTGGTAATTTATTTCCCTATATATATTCTCTTGGAAAATTATCTTCTTCTTTTTTCCGCGTGATCATATACATATTTTCAAGATTCATATAATTCTTTGTTTTTCTCGAAAATCATGGCTCAAGAAAGTAATACTTTTGGTCTTTGTGATTGTGGACATCAAAATTTGAGTCTTGTGTTACACAAAGTTTATCATCAAGGGTTAAAGTAGTAGTAGCAGACTAACAGTACCATTTCTATAGGAGAATTAGAGATCAATTATTCAAATGGTCACTCAACTATTCCAAATTATCTCCTAAAGTCACTTTTCTTTCGTTTGTAACAACAAAGTCACTGAACTACGCAAATTGCACTCAGAAGATCACTCAACTAGATTTTTCAAATTTTGGATTGTCAAATACCTATTTTACCCTCTAAATTATAAACATTTATCTTCTTTTTATTTTTATTTTAAAACTTTTTAGTATTAACAACATAAATTAAAAAATTATTTACACAATTCAGAATGAAAGAAAATAAAGGTTGTAAAATATATATTCCATGCACGTAATATAAAAATAATTATTTAAATAAAGGTATTTTTATTATATACATTATATATTCTTGAAAATTATGCTCAATTATATTATTATGTTTCTACCAACTTTCCGACGACACAAAGTTATGTCACCAGAAAGCAGGGGAACAATCTATATAGGGTTAAATATGCTATGTTAAGTCGCGCATGGAATATATATAAAATAATTGAGCATAATTTTCAAGAATATATAATGTATTATAAAAAATCTTTATTTAAATAATTATTTCATATTACGTGCATGTAATATATATTTTACAATCTTTATTTTCTTTCATTCTGAATTGTGTAAATAAATTTTAGATTTTTTTTTTGTTAATACTAAAATTATTATTACTAACAAATTATTCTAATTAATCTTTTACTACGCTCATTATTTTGTTTTCGAGCATAATATATGCTTAAATACTTTTTTTAATTTATAAATAATATTTATTTATTCTATAGGTAAGTCCATAATGTAAATTAAAAAGAGAAAAATCATAATATTAAAAAGTTTAAAAAAATAAAAAGAAGACAAATGTTTATAATTAAGAGGGTAAAATAGGTATTTGGTAATCCAAAATTTGAAAAATCTAGTTGAGTGACCTTTAGAATGCAATAGGCATAGTTCAGTGACTTTGTTGTTACAAAAAAGAAAAGTGACTTTGGGAGATAATTTGGGATAGTTGAGTGACCATTTGAGTAATGGACTCGAGAATTAGAAGAAGAAAAAATGGAGTAAGAATTGAAGAGGCTAAAACGCGAAGAGTTGATTTAATATTATATCCAACAACACGAAACTTTCTTGAAAAACCCAAATATTTGTGTAGATGCTCATGACTACTACTACAAACAGAGTTGTAGAAGCTATTTTGCCAATGGAGTTGAAGAACAAGATTCAAGAAATGGGGGTTCAAATTTCTGAAGTTTTTTTAGTGATTGAAAAGCCTCCTTTTACTACTGATTTAAGCGAAAAACACACGCGTTTATCGATGCCAGTAAGGCAAGTGATGAATGAGGAGTTCTTGACAGCAGAAGAGAAGGAGATGTTGGACACAAAAGATGATTCTTGTAATAAAAAGTCGAAAATCAAGTTCAATCTCATTGAGCCATCACTTGAAGAAAGCAGTATTTATTTGGCTAAATGGACAATGAATTCGAGTTCATGTTATGTGTTTTTGAATGACTGGATTTCAGTTTGTGAGAGAAATAATTTGAAGGTTAATATGGTGGTTCAATTGTGGTCGTTTAGAAAGGATTCGAATCGATGGCTGGCTCTTGTTGTGATTCCCCCTGATGCTGAAAACCAGAATTATTAGTCTAATCTCATTGTTTAATTTGTAGAATTAGTCTAATTTTACTATTTAATTTGTTGTTTAACACTTAACTTTTTTTTGGCAAAATGACCTCCCAGCTACTTGAACTTGCACCTGTTTATCAACCCCGTAAATCAACTTAAAATTTTCCCATTCGAACACCCTAACTTGGTAAAAAAGCAAATACTAAGCACCTCCCGTTGAGCGTGTCTCTCAAGCGTTGTGACATGGCTGACATATCATATTCTTAGTCTATTATTATTTGACATGTATGATTAGTTGGTCCCAACTTATTTCCACCGATTTATCAAAAAATATAAAATCATTCTCTTTTCTTCTTCTTCTTCTTCTTCTTCTTCTTCTTCTTCTTCTTCACCGGGCAACCACCAGCACCATTAATCTTCCATAAACACCATCCTTCTCCGCTATAAAGTATCAAATCAATACATAAGAAAAGTCAAAATTTTAACTTATTTTTACTCTCTTCCTTTTCACTTTTTTTCTTCAGTTTCATAGTCGTTGGTATCACCGTTCCTGCTACCTGTCTCGTCGGAATTTCTACAAATTATAACAAGCTTCTCTTATTCCTTTTCGTTTAGCAAAACATTAATTTTTTTTATCATATTCCCTTCAAAGAGGGATTTCGTACCCCTGGATTTCATCCATCTGAACGTTTGTGATGACCC